CTGAAATACAATGTGCATTCCAACTAAAAAAGCTCAACAATACAAAGAGTAATAAACTCAATTGCTAATTTTCTTAAAAAAATAAAAATATTTCAGCATTTTAAATATTCAGTTGTGCAGAAAAATTAAAATGATTAAATGTTAACGCGACAATGTCCCCCCACGGTGACATTGCCACTGAGTCCGGTGGCCTTCAGCGCCAGGAGCCGATCTCACATCTGTACTCTCACACATGCTCGAGAGTACAGCATTGAGGCCCATGGGGAATCCCGCAAGATCACAGGATCCTCCATAGACCCAGCCAATACCCTGTTTTCGACTACAGATAGAAACATAGAAACAGAGAAACATAGAATGTGACGGCAGATAAGAACCATTCGGCCCATCTAGTCTGCCTAATTTTCTAAATACTTTCATTAGTCCCTAGTCTTATCTTACAGTTAGGATAGCCTTATGCCTATCCCACGCATGCTTAAACTCCTTTACTGTGTTAACCTCTACCACTTCAGCTGGAAGGCTATTCCATGCATCCACTACCCTCTCAGTAAAGTAATACTTCCTGATATTATTTTTAAACCTTTGTCCCTCTAATTTAAGACTATGTCCTCTTGTTGTGGTAGTTTTTCTTCTTTTAAATATAGTCTCCTCCTTTACTGTGTTGATTCCCTTTATATATTTAAATGTTTCTATCATATCCCCCCTGTCTCGTCTTTCCTCCAAGCTATACATGTTAAGATCCTTTAACCTTTCCTGGTAAGTTTTATCCCGCAATCCATGAACCAGTTTAGTAGCCCTTCTCTGAACCCTCTCTAAGGTATCAATATCCTTCTGAAGATACGGTCTCCAGTACTGTGTACAATACTCCAAGTGAGGTCTCACCAGTGTTCTGTACAATGGCATGAGCACTTCCCTCTTTCTACTGCTAATACCTCTCCCTATACAACCAAGCATTCTGCTAGCATTTCCTGCTGCTCTATTACATTGTCTGCCTACCTTTAAGTCATCAGAAATAATCACCCCTAAATCCCTTTCCTCATATGTTGAGGTTAGGACTCTATCAAATATTCTGTACTCTGCCCTTGGGTTTTTACGTCCAAGATGCATTATCTTGCACTTATCCACATTAAATGTCAGTTGCCACAATTCTGACCATTTTTCTAGTTTACCTAAATCATTTGTCATTTGGCTTATCCCTCCTGGAACATCAACCCTGTTACATATCTTAGTATCATCAGCAAAAAGACATACCTTACCATCAAGACCTTCTGCAATATCACTAATAAAAATATTAAAGAGAATGGGTCCAAGTACAGATCCCTGAGGTACCCCACTGGTGACAAGTCCAAGCTTCGAATATATTCCATTAAATACAACCCTCTGTTGCCTGTCACTCAGCCACTGCCTTACCCATTCAACAATATTTGAATCCAAACTTAAAGATTGCAGTTTATTGATAAGCCTTCTATGTGCAACAGTGTCAAAAGCCTTACTGAAATCTAGGTAAGCAATGTCTACTGCACCACCCTGATCTATAATTTTAGTTACCCAATCAAAAAAATCAATAAGATTAGTTTGGCATGATCTCCCTGAAGTAAACCCATGTTGTCTCTGATCTTGAAATCCATGTGTTTTTAGATGTTCATCAATCCTATCCTTTAACATGGTTTCCATCACTTTCCCCACTACTGAAGTAAGGCTTACTGGCCTATAGTTGCCCGACTCCTCCCTATTACCTTTCTTGTAAATGGGCACAACATTCGCTAACTTCCAATCTTCTGGGACTACTCCTGTTAACAATGATTGGTTAAATAAATCTGTTAATGGTTTTGCTAGTACACCACTAAGCTCTTTTAATAGCTTTGGGTGTATTGCATCAGGTCCCATTGACTTATTTGTCTTTACTTTTGACAGTTGAAATAAACTCACGTGTAATAAATGACTCATTTATCCTTTTTCTCAACTGAGGTCCCTTTCCTTCATTTTCATCTGTAAATACAGAACAAAAATATTCATTGAGGCAGTCAGCTAGACCTTTATCCTCTTCTAATGTTTTCTCCCCCTTTTTTACTGACTGTGCTATTTTCTCTTCTGTGTGTGATTTGGAAGCTCTTATAACTTGCTTAGCCTCTTTCTGCCTAATCTTGATACATAGACTCCGTCTTGAGTCAGGAAATGTTAGGCGCCTTGAGTCAGTGAAATTCCAACACAGTCATAATGAGTATTTCATAATGATTCTATCTTAAAATATTAATTTTTACCATGGAGGTGACAGTACCGCTTTAAGTAAAACTTGTATATATTTAGATGAACACCGGCTTTGAAGTTCTTTTTAATATTCAATTAACTATTGTTAACCACTGTGGGATATTTTACTTTATGCGTATACTGATTGTGTATCTGTTCTGCTTTTGGGATAACAAAAGTATTCACATAGAGTTCTTCAGCAATTAATCAGTAGGTATAGACATTTATTTAAAGGAGAATTTTGCAATAAAATAACTAATTTTTCTTTTAAGACTTTCTGTATGTTACATTATATTTTAAAGTAAAGTAACTTTCAAATGTATAGTTATCAAAATTAGTTATAAAGTTAGTAAATAGAAATATAATCAGAAAATGCAACCAATTTTCAATCAATTAACTATTGTAAAAACCACAAATCTGAATCAGCTAACACATATAGAATCCTGTTAAATAGATTCTAATGAAAATCCCAATCAATACAATATACTAGCACTAAAAATAGTGTTGTATCTGCTTCCCAAAATCAGGACAAGAATTATATATATGGTAATTCAAATTTCCCCCTCTATATTAATGTTCAGCTTTTTTCCACTGTTGTACTATTTTGCATGATAACAATATTTTTTGAGGCATGGTTATGGAAATAAAGCCAAAATGGGAAGCATTGCATACCTTTACATACATTAAATTTGCTATGGCATTATCAAGATGGTGTTTGATGATTTTTCATCTTCCGGTGTACAATCTTCCTTTCTCCTTTCTGTTGCCTTTATTATTCAGGGTTAATTATTGGTCTATTTTTTTTATCTCTTACACTTATGTGTCCATTTATCTGCCTACACAATTGTTGTTTTTCTAGAGGATCTTTTGATTCACTAGTAGAGAAAGTGCTCCATTTTCTGGACTCTCTGGACCTTTACTGATGTCATTTTAATACCTGTAAAACAACAGGATAAAACATATCCTCGTTAGATTGAGCATACAATTTTATCTATAGATTGTTTTAGAATCTTAGCATGCAAATGTATAGATTATGAGAAAACCTATTTAAAAATAGATTTTTATTCCAGCGGTCAGTCAATGCCTCGCCTCGCGGTTGCTATAGAAACTCCCTAGCCAGTGCTTCTAGTGATGGCTGGGGAGTATGGGAACGGAGTGACATGACATCACTCTATTCCAATGTCACTGATGAGATTTGCCCTGCGGTGGCGGTGCAGGGCGAGCATATTGATCCAAACCACTGGGTGTGACGTATGTTTCTTTTCAAGTTAAGTGTGATGAAAGCACCTTTGTTACTGGGATTTGGAGAGGCCTGTTTGCCAGCCTCTTACCCTGTGACTATGGTCCCTGGGATGTATTGCCCTTTAAACGGTTTATTTGGGCATATTGGATTTTAAAACACTTTGTCTGCCCCTTTAAATCCATGGGAAAATGTTCTTCTTCCCCTCCCCCTTTTTCCTGTCCTTTTGTTTCTCCAGCAGGGCGTTGTCGCAGGGACACTGGCAGACCAGTTTAAACTAGCTGTTTTGTCCCTCCTCAATCTCCCATCTGAACCCTTCCTTGTACTATAGGACACTTTTAAAATTGGACATATTGGTTAAACATTGTATTATAAGAGTTATGTATTTTTATGAGGTTTTTGTAACAGTTTCTGACTTAGAAGATAATTAAATTACCACAGCCACTTAAGCCAATCATCTCCAGGATAGCCTAAATCTGTGGAACTGTTTTGGGCATGAAAGCCATGCTTGCGGTCGGTCAAATGTGACTTCCATAAAACCTTTGAACCCCTGCTCTGATCGGGGTGATTTTTGCATATGTTGTTCACCCAGATCAAGGATATCCAGGGATGTATATATTTATGGGGATGTGTTATATTTTGGGGTGTTTTCTGGACTTTGGGGAAAATGTGTGTTTTTCTGGCTGTGGATAATTAGGTTATTGTATTAGCTGCTTTAATTATATCCCAGGCAGAGGGGAGGGCTTGTGTGCTGTATGTGGGAGTGTCGGACATTATTGTATTGCTTTGATTGGTTTGTGTACTTTGTGTCCTGTGCTCCACAAGGTCCACATGGGTGGTAACCTTGTGGGGAAAATGTAGACTTGTTAGACTTGTTCTACCATTCATGAAGTTTTGGCTCATGTTTGGGGGATTGGAGAACTACCTACACTCTTGGGATTGCTATAATCAATATACTCCCCAGAGTAAGCTCTTTTAAGAGCTTGTTCATGTTCCTGTTCCTACTCTCTAGATTTAGGAGAGGTCTGCCTACTGGAAGCTGGTCCCTGGTCTTGGGCCCAGAGTAGGAGGAAGACGGCGAGACCCCAACCAAGCTGCGGCGGTTTTGTGGGGTCTGTGGTGGTTATGTTGTCTAGTGGAGTGCTTGGAGCCCCTGGGAAGCACTAGGAGCATCCGTCAACAGAAGGTACCCAGTCGGGGTGCCAGATATTCCGTTACATTAATTTTCTCTTCAAGCCAGTTTTTTGAATGGGGAATCACTAATTGACTGAGAGCGTCAGCTGAACGCTCTCAGAAATCTGTGGCGTCTCTCCTGAAAATGAAATTCTGAAGCCAGATGCCAAGTGGGGGAACTGAGGATCAGCACTGGAGGCTCACTTTGGGGTTAATCCATTCGAGAACGGTTTACCTTCTGAAGGTTCTATAACAACTTCATTTAGATTAAGTTGTTATGGTTTCTAAACTGTCCCTTTAAGGATACAAATTAGGGCCCTGTTTAGTTCCCTTAATTGGTGTCCTTAAATATGTCTACCCCACATAATGATAGGGGAGTTATCTACTAAACAGATGAAATATCAAAATTATTAGGTGCCATTAGCCAGCTCAAAAGAAGGTAGTAATGTGAATTCTGTGAAATTGTGGTGTATGATGCCTCCCACTGGAAATTATTAGTGTCACCCCTCCCCCTTTTTGACTGTATTTTTGACATTTTTGACTGTGGTATCTTATGTGCCCCCCAACACTGTTCATGGAGTCACCACTGCAAGTGAGTTATGACCAGGACATGATTTCTCATTAAGTAGAGTAGGCACCTGCCTACAGGTATAAAATCAGGAGAGAGAGTAAGCGCTAGATAACAAATAAGGCAGCAACCCTTAAAGGGAATCCCTCAAAAACCCTTCAGATACAACAAGAGTAAAAACCAAAGATAAAGGCTGCGTCAGAATAGACCAATAAAATATATAATAAAATATGGTGGAAATCGAAATGTAAAAGTCTTAGCTGAACAGATCTTCCATAGATCAGATAGTCTGTATAGTGCTTTATCAGGAACAGTGTCCTTGCTGTCCTTCCCCAGGGGGATCCAGTATTATGAAAAAGATAACCATAACAGATGCTCCACGACTCTGGGATTGTTGTATTCAGTCTGAAGGAGTTTGATCTGTGCATGGTCCTGCCCCCTCAAACTGATCACAGCATTTCAAGAAAGGAAAGGGCAGCCCGAATGGCCAACTCAAAAATGACAGGTACACATCCACACACACACACAGTTACACTTACGGCAATCCAGACTGTACCGCACATAAACTTCTACACATACTGCTCCTCACACTGCTATACGCACACTGCTAGTTTGATTGCTACACACACACTGTAGCACAAAATACTACTACCCACACTGTTACACACAACACTACATATGCTACTATGCACATAGTTACGCACACATACTGTTATGTCCACTACTACATTTGTTGCTACCCACACTCTTGCAAACACATACCACTGCACACCACTCAACACAAACTTACTAAGCTGACACACATACACAGAAATACATACACATAGACATGCCCTCAGACATTTACACACACTGCTTCACATGTGCACATGTTTTTGCATCCTTCCCTATTACAGTTACCCCTTTGCAGGCCTTAATATACCCTTGATCTGTAGAGATACTCAAGAGGATGGATACCAAGGTCTGTGGGTTAATCCAAAATTTGCTTATATTTGCACTGTAGCAGGCTTATACAAAGTGTTATAATATATTACAACTACATCCCCATTAGTTCTAGCTAACTCCGATGTTCTTAAAAACTCTGGTTTTAAAGTTTGTTTGAAGCCAGTGTGCAAAATGAAACCTACACAAAGTAACACTTCAAGAGAGACTAACTCAAACGCTGCATAGAGGCCCTAGGAGTTACAAAATTTCCTATATAGAACCAGAATCAGAAACAATAATAAAGATAAATTATTTTGCCATTTATATTATGCTATCCCTAAACTGTACAGACACTCTTCAGTGCACATACTGAACATATTTCTTGGAAAAGCAAACAGAACCTGTTACAATGTTTATACAGCCTGCTATACAAATGTTACTATACCAATCTATGCAGAATTATTTAAATGTTTATTTAGACTTATATGCTCCTTTAAAAGAAAAACTTGTTCTGTTAATGTGAATGTCCTTTTTTAACTAATATTTGAGGAATACTTCATTTTCTTATTTTTGAATTGTAGACATTAATAGTGAGAGCACACCATGATTGACAGAAAGACAGAAATAGAAAGAGGGGGATAGGGGAGATTGACAGGTTAAATAGAATAATACAATACATATTTAGAGCATTTCACATACTAATTGAAGGAATCAATGTGCTTTAAGTTATGTTATATAATATTCTAGTCATGCACTATATTTGGTACTCTTTTAATTGAATGGAACTAAGATTTGAACCTGTGATCCTGCTGTAACACACAAATTTCTACAGCAGGTCGATTAAGGTAGATATAGAAAGACAGAAAACAGGCAGAATCATATATGCACCCGGTGGCAAACTTGCAGATAGCAGCACGTGTAATTGTACATAAGTCAATAAAGTAAAAATGTAGACTAAATGGCTAAATTGCAAAGTAACCTATGTGATTTATTTTTTCAGCTTCAATTTTCACTTATTCTTTTTAAACTCTAGCCCCCCCACCCACATACCGCTGAACTACAACCCCCATGACTCCCTTTCCATATATATATTGCACTCATGTAGGCTATTAGCAGCACTGACACTCTGTATGGAGACGCAGAGCTTTCTCCATAGAGATGCATTGATTCAATGCATCTCTATGAGGAGATGCTGATTGACCTGGCCAGCATTTGGCTTCGCCACCACCCCATCTCCTTGACAATCTCAGCCATCCCAATGCTTTTCTTGTGGGGAAGCATTGGATTGGCTGAGATAATCAATTCTGATGATGTCCGTCGAGAAGGCAGATTGGGGGTGGGGCCAGTGCCAAGGGACCTGTGCACAGCTGGAAATAAGTTGAGCAAACTACTTATTAAGAGGGGACACCTACAGTGTTCCTTTAAGGCTTTAAATTGTTACCTTTGAGTATGTGTTAAATAATTTAAAGTTTGCTTCCGGTTACGATTAAAAAAGAATATTATTATAATTTTGGAAATAGAGAAATCCATTAAGTTCTATTCTTCATTGCCAGTGGCAAAAAAAAAAGTAGATTACAGGCCTTCTCGGTGAGGAAAGAGTTAATGCACTCTCTCTTCTGACTTTCAAAATTTTTATAGTTTGTCAATCATTATAAAAAGTCTTAGACTGGTGCAATGCAGCCTTGATACTTTTAAAGCATGATAAGAAATGGGAAGCACGATAATAAACACTTTTCTATAGGTAACCTCTTTTGATGTTTACTACATAAAAAAACATTAAGTTCACTGAAGTGTGACAAGCCACTAAACCCTTGTGACAAAGAGGTTTCCTGCAATCCATACAATAGAACACACTGCTATCACAAACAGAAGACTTACCATTAAACCTTCAGAGCAATTTTACAATGAATATTTATTTACTATGCTCTTCGGTTTTTTATTCTCTTCTTTTACCCTGAATTGCTCACTACACTGACCTGTCCATCCTTCACTTGTCAAACAGTAATTCTAATTCTACAATACAACCGTCGTATGACTTTATTTACTTTTCTCTCTAACGTTTTGGTAAAGCTGTATATAATAGTTCTTTTACCTTTATGGTAACTTTATTATATTGTATATAGAAAGCTATGATTAAAAGACGCCAGGATCACGGCAGTGGTTGAGTTGTTTATTTAACTTATACTATTAAGCTTTAATCAAGGTAACTGTTTCATAGGAGATGACATGCCAGAACCATTGTTACATTTTAGTTTTTTTTCTTATTCACTGGTCATGAGTGGGTTAAAGATTTTATTAATATTATTAAAGATTATATTAAGATTAAAGATTATAATATTATTCACCCCTTAAGGACCAAGGCTCTCTTGAGAGACAGCACATTACTGACAAAGGTCTTTGTTGGCACTTTTCCAATGGGTTAATTCTACCAAAATTTCACTTTGCACCCGTACATGCTAGATATAATTCTTTAAATGAGAAATAGGGCTTTAGATAAATCAGATTTAAAAAAAAGTATTTAAAAATGGGGTCAGGGGGTAGAATACATGGATCTTGATTTTACATTTAATCATTTCTCCATAACAAGTACAAATAAAGAAAACTAACTAATAATAGATTCACTAAGTAGTCCTGATTGTTAAAATATCCAAATATGTCTAGAATTCCAAATAACTTTTTGAAGTTATAGAACTAATATTACAAGGAGTGGATCATGGCTTTAAAGCTAAAACTTTGAAACATATGGCATGCTGAGATTACATATTTTATAGTCACATAATCTAAAACCGCTGCACAGAAATGTATATTGGTAGAAAGTACATAACCCAGGCCACTTAACTTTTCATGTAACCATTTTATCACAAACCTCTGACAAAATTTAATTTTTTTGTGTGTTTTTTATGTGTTTTATTTTGGGGAAATTCATAGACCACGCATGTCCTATTACTATATACACTATGGATGTCAAACTCGCAGCCCAAGGGCCGCATGCGGCCCACAATGAATATCTTTGTGGCCCAACAAAGATATTCATTGCTAAGGGACCTGGAGGTGCCCAGATGCGCATGGAGGCGGGTCAGAGGTGCAAAGAGGCGGGCAGAGGCACACTGAGGCGGGCCGGTGGGGTGCATGGAGGCGGCCGGAGGGGCATGGATATGGGCAGAGGGTCGCGGAGGTGTGCAACATCACTTTCCGATATGATGTCTACATGCTCCTCCTTCAAGGAGTTTCAGCTCTAGCACAGGTGCGGAAGGTGCCATTGGAGGTATAAACGCAGGACTCGGTATTCGGATACACAATGTGAGTAAAGTCAGCGTCTGCAGGATAATATTTTTTTTTTTGCATTTTTAAAACAGGTGCTGGGGTTTAGTAGAGGAGGGGGGCTGGGGTTTAGTAGAGGGGGGCTGGGGTTTAGTAGAGGGGTGGATAGGGGTTAGTAGAGGTGGGGGCTGGGTTTTGTAGAGAGTGGCTGGAGTTTAGTAAAAAACATTAATGTTACTGTTGTTCTTGTTTTTTTTTATACTGTACCTTTCTATGAAAATTTAAGTTTGTGTTTTTTGACGTCACACATAAACTTAAACCTTTCTTATTTGGCCCATGTTAGTCTTTGAGTTTTACCTGCTTGGTGTAAGGAATCCGTATGATTCTCCATGAGAGGTACACGCCTGAAATTGGGGTTTCAGCAATCCACAGCTGCCGCCAACTCCTGCATTACCTGATCTATCCATGGAAGTAATTGATAAATTAGTGTATGTATGTACACATATGTATATTTCATATTCACACTTTTCAGTGACGGCAATTATCCTTCATCTTACTCCGGCCATCACCTCCTAATTCTCCCTGTTACTTCAGGCCTCCACTCCCCATTTTGACTGTTAGATTGTAAGCTCATTAGCCATTTAGCTTAGCACGTATTATAAAAAAGCTTTAATGGCTCGATCTTATGGGCAGGGAGATTGGTTTCTGTTTATTGTACAGATTTTCCCCATGTATACAGCCCTGCGGAATTTATTGGTGCTTTCTATATGAAAGTAATAATAATAAAGTTCCCCATTATGAATATGTATATATT